GGCAATGAAGTATAGAAATGCGAGCATAAAAGTACACTGTCATGCCACGTCCTTACAAAATCTTGATCCTAAATAGCAAGCCTGCAGATTTAACTGAATATTTCCTATTGGGAGTGGAACTGCTTAGATGCCACCTGGTGGACAGAAAGGAGAACACAGGCAAGAAGAAAAGTAAAGACTCCTTTTTCAGAGGATTCCATCCTACTATGGACCCCTTCTGAAGACTGCTTAAGTAGCTCCAGGGAAGTTACAGTCAAGTAGGCCTATCAGCTTTCTCCCTGATTTGTATACCTTGCCCTGAGACTACTTTAGGACCCAGGAATTAGGAGATACCACAGCCTTGCTTCACTGTGGAGCTTCTTCCTTTTCCTTGAGTTGTTTAAATGGCCCAAACTTTCCTAAATTAGGGTCAAAATTTGAAATGTACAGAATCAAAGGATCACTGGTCTAAAGCTGTAAGGCATCTCAAATGCTACTGAGTTTGAATTCCTCATCTTACAAATAAGGAAACTGAAGCCAAGGGAGGTTAGATTTTAAGTAATCGAGGGAACAAGAACCTTACAATTTTCGAAACTCAGTCTTCAGATAGCCTAAATGGAACTGCTTGTTTTATCTCTTCATAAAATAGGAAGTTTACACATTGGTTTGCTAAGTGTCAGGGGGCACATGTGTATGACGAAACAATGGCATTCGTGTCTCTCAAACATTGCTAGAAATTGAGGAGAGTGGACATGAGAAAGAGATCTACCTAATTAGCTTCCCATTCTACTCTGGGTAGACAATATATTTGGCTTTCAGCAAACAGAAGAAAACTGCATGGTCCTGGGGTGAGCCTAATTAATCAGGGAAAAACCAACAACTAGAACATACTGAACAACACAATTTTTGGAGGGCATTGGGCAAATCAAGTTCTATACCTTAGGGTTATTATTATGCCAGGGGCTTTTTAATTTTGTTCAGTTTTATTTTTGTCCTCCCCTCAGCCCAGGGGGCTTTACAACAGCCACTATTTTGTCAAATGTTTGCTGAATAAACAAACATTTCACTCAATCTCGTACCATTGCTGGAATAATGATTTTTAGTGTTCCCCCTAAAACCATTCAATAAGCTTGACTGGAAGATATGTCAGCCAAAAGAAGAAAATTAAATATTCATTTCACTGGGATTCATGGAACCTAGGTTCTCAAAGGTTACATGAGATGGGCAAAAGCTACCAAACTGGAGAGGCTTTTGGAATGAACCCTGTGACAGATTTTATCTATTGTCCAAGGCCAGTTCAGAAAATCTTAATGACCAAATTGGCTGCAAGGTAACTGGCTACAGAAATGGTCACAGAAATTTTCTAAGACCTACAAAGTTGCTGGTGATCTGTGTGAGTGAAAAATACTCATGTTAATAAAATCACTCATCCTTAAAATGTTAGGATTAATTACTACATAGATATGAAATATTCCTTAATGAAGATAACTCTGGGTAATAAAAAGCTGAATTGTAGTGGGGCAAAAGTTATCCCAGAGTTCTAGACAGGTCTGCTCTTTCTATTAATAAGGGGGTTCTAGAACAGACTGTATTATTCTCTTACTTAGAGTAGAGAAAGAAAAGGTCTAGGAAGGAATATAGGGCAGTAAAAAATGGCAGCTCTAATAAAGACTGTTGTCTGACAAAACTGTTTAATCAGACTCACAAAATTCCGAAGTTAAGGGTTGAGATGGTTGAGACGAAATTTTCCTAACAAAGTACATACTCTACAGGTGTTCAGCAGAAACCCCTCAACTAGGTCAGCGTCATTTACCAAGAACATCATGTATGGAAGATGTGAGATCTCTCAATAAGGAATAAGATAAATTTCTCTAAGTTTAAAAAGGCATGGTTTTAGAGTCAAATGCCATTTTGATATCAACAGGTCCTTCTGCTAAGGAAATTGTACCTGATTTAAGAGTTAATCCTGTATAGTCAAATTCTAATGAGAATAATGCCACAAAAGCTCTAGTTATAACTGATATCCTAACCAAGGATATTTATAAATTTACTTCCATCAAGCACTTACAGAGTTCTTATAAGCTTCAGAATTCCCTTAACACAATTCCTATTATAACAGATAGAAGGGTTAATCAAATTACCACAACACACTACCTAGCTCCAGAAAAGTCTAAGGACCCTGAACTCTAGGTTTAAAGACTCTAAACGTGAAAAGTAGAAAAGAGATGCCAAAAAGAGTCAGTGTTCTTAAGAATCTCAACCATTATCTCCATACTTCAAGAAGTGAAACACATGAGAATTTCTTTCAAAGGGCATTACTTTGAGAGAGGATTAGAAGACATAATAAAGAGAAACATACAGAACAAGAAGGGTGACACAAATGCTTTCTAAAAGAATTTTTAAAAATACTTATTCATGGAAACTTCCCTAAAATTTAAAGCAGTCTGTGACAGAAGACACTTCAGTAGGGAATGGGAAAAGAGGGCCCAAAAATTTTAGTTACACCTGAATTAAGTTCTAGATTGCATCCATTTATTTTTAGTTCCATTAATATTACAGAACTTTGGAAATACATTAAGTTAACACAAAACATTAAGTTTTGTACTCAGTGAAAAAGAATAGAGTGGGTCTTAGTTATAGGGTTTATCTTAAAAAATAAGAGAATTACTGCACTGTGGGAAACAAAAAGGAGTGAAAACCTGTAAATTAGCTGATAGTCAAAGTTTCCCTGAGAAAACAGATTTTCATTTTCTTTATATAAAATATCAGAATGTAATGTTCAAATTCGGTTTGTGTACTAGGTCTTCCAGATTAAGCAAAGAGGCAGAAGGCTGCATCAAGGAAGGGAAGGGAAATAAAGAGAACTTAAACCAGAACTAGGACCATGAGCTTTAGTTCACAAACAATTCCAGATCCTGCTACCCATGTGGAAAATGTTAAAAATATACTTTTGCCATATTTCAGCATTTCAAGGATCTGTGATTTGACAGATGAGGCATTCTGTCTGCCAACACTGATCCTAACTCCTATATCATAACTCCTTTGGTCTTTGCCAAATTGCCATGGCTAAAACATTCATTACTCTGCGTACAAATCTAGTGACAGGGCTCTCTGAACTCCAATAGACTTGTCCTTGAACAGCCAACATAGAATTCATCACCAATTCTATGCTCACAACCTTTCTAGCTTCACAGGATCTATAAGACCTTTGTTAAACAAAGCTTGCCTCCACACCATCAGGTGATCAGAGAACTTTTGTCCCAACTTTAGTCACAAAATTGGAAGTAAACTTGGTTCATAAAGGATATAAATATAGAACCTCATCACTGGAAATAGCTCCTTCATCACTCTGGGTGGTACCCAGACAAATTCACAAACAGAAAGACAGCAACGAAAAAAGAGGAAAAACTGACATCAATGCTTATAGGAATCGGTCTATCGGTGACAAGGTGGTAGAGAGGGAGTTTATCCATCAGTGGACAAGAAGACTGAAGTCAGTTTTCTTTGATAAAGATCCTAAATGGGCCTGAGGGAACATTAGCACATCTAAACTAAGGAGACGGAAGACAATTGTTATCCAGAATTTCAGCAGTGAGGGTGGAAGGTCCCCAGGAGGCAAGAGGTCACTTTGCCGTGAGGACTAGGACAAAGAGACAGCACTGAACCCTGCCGGCTCACAGCACTATACAAATGCTTAAGTCACTTCCAAGAGCTACCAGAGGTACCCATCAGCCTGTCAGGCTCCTTACTGAAACAAACTAAAGTGTAATCTTGCCCCATCAGATTAGAGAAGAAAAATTACAACTGTCACATTATAAATATACTCATTTTGCTTATGGGAGGGGAGTGTGCACTGAAACTATGCTTATTCATTTCACTCATTGGGTACACATGTATGTCTAGATAACAAAAGCACAAGAAGGAGATGAAAATGCCAAATTATAGGGGGTGACAACTTCTAAACACTACACCCCTGAGGAGAGAAGACTAAAAATACTCCCCTCTCCTACCACTCCTCACCCCATTCCAAGGAAGCACAAAGCCAGTATGTCCTTAGAAGGAAAAAATGGGGAAATACAGAAAAAAGAAGTTATTTTGTTGTTGAGTTGTTTTCAGTCATGTCCGACTCTATGTGACTCCATTTGGGGTTTTCTTGACAAAGATACCAGAATAGTTTGCCATTTCCTTCTCCAGCTCATTTTACAGATAAGGAAACTGAGGCAAACAAGGTTAAGTGACTTGCCCCAGGTCACACAGCTAGCAAGTTTCTGAGACCAGATTTGAACTCGGATGAGTTCAAGAAGATAAGTCTTCCTGACTCCAGGCCCAGCTCACTATCCACAAAGAAGACAAATCAGCTTTTATAAAATGCAATGAAACAGTATGAGAATTAGAAAAATACCTAAAAGGGCAGGAAAGAAGTCACATGATGCCTGGTTTCAAGTTCCAGCTCTACCTCTGATTAACTGTAATTTTGGTTAAGTCTTTTGACCCTTCTGAACCTCAGTATTCTCATTTATAAAATGGAAGATGGCAACACCTGTCCCTACCTTATAGGGCTACTGTGATGATCAGATGAGATAATGTATATTACAGTACTCTGAGCACATATATAGAGAGCTTTTATGAATATACAACTCTATACAAATATAAGGCTTATTAATAACAATAATAAGCAGGGGAACATATGAGACAACATCATTTCCCAGAAAAAAAAAAGCTAATAGGTAGCTTGAATAATGCCTTAAATTCATGCAGAGATTTCTTTCCTACTAAGTTAGAGGTGTCCTTACAATACTTGTTATCCCTATGAGATCCTAGAAAGTTTAAAGAACATCATGCCATATAACTCACACATGGCCTCATTCAGAAAGAACTGAATTCCCAATATTGTGACTCAGTTACCTGAATACTTCTCTTTGCATTCACTCAACACTACTTTTCCTCTCTGCCTCTTTTTGTTTCTCAATTTGAGAGACCCAACTTTAATTCTATGAAATTCTCTGCCATGCTATACTCACCTTTGGAAGCTGCAGGAGAAGTGAGCCAGGGTGAAAAAAAAACCCATCAGAAGTTGGAATGAAATGAGAGAAAGAAGAATCAGATCTAGTTCACTGTTATCTGTAGCCAACCACACACCCACTTCAAAACAATCTGCTAAGACATGGCAGGCACAAGGCAGAGTCGGAGCTAGATCATTCAGTGTGCCCTAGGGCACACTGAAATCATAGAACCTGTAGGGATGATATGGCTATTCAGCAGAACTTGATGTAACCACATGATAAGTCTGAAATGGTTAAGCCTCATTCACTCCAAGGAAACTTATCTTTCTAATCCTATTATCCTCAAAAAAAAAGAAAATGTGTTTGTTTTTCCTAAGAGACAAGTCCCATTCTAAACCACCCAATATCTCCTTCCTACCCTCAATATCCTTTTCTAGCTTAATCAAGGCTGATAAATTCCTCCTCCACAGGGTATTCCCTGGACCTGAACTGTCCCCTGAAGGAAAGTACTCACTTTTTGTCTGGGCTGAGAAGGTAAGCGTGAGCTTGGCAAATAGCTCACTGTTCTCAAACCGGTCCTCTTTTACCTTTGTCCAAAAACAGTCCTGGGAGAGATCCTCAGCAACAAACTGCAGACACAGGCAAGGTCTGGAGTCAGTATTACAGGTTCTATACTTTCCCACTCATGATAACAAAATTCTAGATATGGAAAGCAGCTATACAAATTTTAAAGCACCAATTTAAAGGACTAAGGTTCCAACAAAATGTTACGAAGCAGCTACAATTTTTAAAGCTGAAACAAGAGATATGGACTTCAGATTAAGACATAAAGAAACTTCTTTAGTTCTGTCATCTCTCTTAACTCCAGACTCAAAGCTCTCTAGCTCTAGTAACTCTCAGACTCCTGATACTGTGGTATACGCTTTTCACTAAAGCTAATTCTAAATGTGTTAATTTTGTCAGGTGAATAAATCAGTCAACTGACCCCATCAATTTTTTTATTTGAACCTGGGCCCTAGGAGAAGGCCTAACTCAGAATCCTAATGATTTCAAAATACCCTCTAGCGAGGTTAAGCTTAGACATGGTTTTTGTTAAAGTTCAAACAGGAAGAAAGATACAGGTGTATGTATTTTAATGACAAATGGAATCTGTGACTTTTAAAGCAGGACAATTATCAGCTGCCTAAAAACTTTGGAATAGCTGATTATGAAATTTTTGTTACCTCAATGCTGCCATCTTCTGGGGCAAAAGGTAAAGTACACTAAGTGGATAATAAATCCAAAATTTAAAAGCCAGAAAAATGTATGCTGAATTCTCTGTGGAGGTAAAAAGGTACTCTGTATACATAAGAGCCTTAATAAATCATTGTTGAATGGTGCCAATCCTGGAACTCTGAAGACAGACTGGGCCAAAGGAAAGTAAGTTTACCCACTTTAAAAAGGTTGAGGCATGAACCAGATCCAACTTTTTGACCACGGGCTTTCGAATTTGGCAGCAACTCTCACCTTGGACCAGTTTGGCCTTCGGAGCTGCACCTCTGGCTTATAAAGCTTCTTTGGAACCAATCCATGGGGCAGAGCTGGAGGCGCAGTCACTCCTAGACCCCCAAATGCAGGGGGGGGAGGAGGCACACCCATTCCTGGGGGAGGTGGAGGGATACCAGGAACCCCTGAGAGTGGAGGGGGTGGAGGAATTCCAGCACCACCAGGTAAGGGGGGAGGAGGTGGGGGCATTCCAGCACCTCCAGGCAGGGGAGGGGGAGGAGGAATGCCACCTCCACCAGGGAGGGGAGGGGGAAGAGGAATGTCACCTCCACCAGGGAGGGGAGGGGGAGGAGGAATGCCAAATCCACCAGGCAGGGGAGGAGAAGGGGGTGGAGGAGGTATACAAATGACAACAGGTAAAGGAGGGGGTGGAGGTGGAGGGGGTATAGTAATACCACCAGGCAAAGGAGGGGGTGGGGGTGGAGGTGGTACAGTAATGCCACCAGGTAAAGGAGGGGGTGGGGGTGGAGGCAGCACAGTAATGCCACCAAGTAAAGGAGGGGGTGGGGGTGCAGAGGGTATGCTAGAGTTGCCAGGCAAAGGAGGGGCAGGGGGAACAGTATCACTGCTAGGGGCAAGATGAACAGAAGAGACTACTGCAGCTGAAAGAGAAGCCACATCCTTCTTGGCATTTTCCAGCTCCTTTGACAAACTGGCAACCTACAAAAGAAAGCAACATCAACAAAAGAAATCAAGCACTTTCCACCTACATTCCCAACAAAGGGTAGTTCATACTGATTCTTAGGCATGCCTATCTTGAGGCTTTAGAATGACCAATTTCAATAGGCGGCAATATACCCTACCTTCACCTGCCCAGATGTTACCTTTCCAGTAAGCTGAGAGACTTCAGCCTCCAGGTCCTTTTTCTCAGTAGCTAATTGTTGTTTCTCTGCATCCAATGTTTGCTTCTCTCCTTGGAGGTCCTGGAGCTTCTGTTCAAAGTCACTCTCCATCTTTTTCATTTCCACCTGTAGCTCATGCCGGGCAGTTAGCTCTGAATCCAGCTAAGGGGAAAAAAAAATCAATATTCCAGGAAGCTACTCTATCTCCCAGGGCAAGGCACAGAACTTTCTCTGTAACATACCACATGTTACTATTTTACCTCTGGAGTTGCCCCATACCAGAGGCAGTGACTAGGAAGGGAGAATGATAATGCCTTGACTCTAAAACTTGGGAGTTGAGAATGTGGATCTTAGATATTATTTTAATGGTCTTCTCACTTCTGGGGTCAAAGCTATAGGTCTGAAGTTTAAGGACATTTCCTTTACTCAACCTGGAGAGTTTTGGGGAGTAGCCTACATTTTTATAGCGCTTTAAGATTTACAAAGCAGGGACAACTAGGTGGCACAGTGGATAGAGCACCGACCCTGAAGTCAGGAGGACCTGAGTTCAAATCTGACCTCAGACCGAACACTTAACACGTACCAGCTATGTGACCTTGGGCAAGTCACTTAACCCTGACTGCCTCACAAAAACAAAACAAAACAAAACAAAACAAAGATTTATAAAGCAAAGCATACAAAAGGGGATTTGGGATCAAAAGTCACTCC